TAGCCTCCAAGAACGCCTCCCCGGCGCAGAGGGGCCCCCGGAGGGATGCACAACCGACCCACGCCACGCCGCTTGCGGCGGTCCTCTTCCCAGCTCCGCTGAGGGCCCGTGGGTTATTTCGTTTTCACGCGTACTTTACCTTAATTCGAATCAATCAATTCGCGTATGAACGCATCCGGCCTACTACGGTGCACGATTGATTGACACGGGCGGATATCGTCCGCAAAACGCCCGCATCAGCTCGCATCGCCCCACCGGGCCAGTGAACAACATGCTCGTACTGTTGTACTGCACAACGTGGCGGGGCGCGCGTGAGCCACGCGACCGCTTGGGCCGAGCTTGCTCGTGGCGGCTACATACACGCTCCCCCTGGGGCCTGGGCTGGCGGGGATGCCCTCTTAGGCGGCCTCGCCGGCACCGGCGACCCCTGGCTTTCCGGTGGGGTACCCCCCATCCGCCTTCTTGAAGCAGGCGGCGCCCGTAAGCCACAGGAAGAGGAGCACGCTCAGGGCAATGAGGGCCAAGACGCCGACGACGATGCCGAAGCTCAGGGCAATGAGGCACAAGATGCAAATACCGCCGTCGTCGTCGTCGGACTCCACCTTGGGTGGCTCGAGCCGAGAGACCGTGACGTCGGTATCGATGCCATCTTCCGCGAACTGATCGTTGAGAGCCTCTTGGAGTTTCGTCGCATCAGCAAGGATGCCGTCCGAGAGCGCGATCACCGCCGCGTCCGCGGCCGCCGACACCTTGAAGAGGATCTTTGCCGAGACCACCACGGAGCCAGGCGAGAACGTCAGGGAGACCGCCGACGGCGAGACGCCCGCGCCCGCGGCGAGCACCGCCTTGATCGCCGCCCGCTCCGGCTCGCCGTTAAAGTCTTCGACCGCGCCGGCGAGCGTGAAGGAGGTGACCACCGTGGCGGCGGGTGTCTTGCAGAGGAAACCCATAGACCCCGGTAGACCCAAATCGACGTCTCCAGAAAGGTCGTCGAGAATGCCTCCCACGGAGAGGCACGTCTCCAACAAGTTCCATGGAAGCTCGGTGCCGCTGTCGGAGCAGTCCCAAGTGGTGTAGGAGGTCACGGTCAAGGTGTCACCGTCACAGGTCAACATCAACGAGGCCGCCGTTTGAGGGATACTGACCGCCAAAGGCAGATCTGAATCCTGAGGATCGGCGAGGCACTCTCCCGTGGAGATGGTCTCCCGAGTCGTGCATTCGGTCGAGCAGTCGGTGGAATTGCACGTGAGGATTTCGAATCCAGCCTCAAAGCCGTGGTCGGTCGTGTTCGACACGGCGGTGACGGACGCCACAAAGAGCGCGGTGAGCTTCACGTGCATGAATCAGAGAGAGACCTGCGAGATGGAGGTGGACATGTCGCTCGCTTTGGCGGTCGTTCGCAGTGTGGCAGCGTGCAAGTTGGGGTGGTACGCAGTGACGCGCAGGAGCAGTAGGGAGGCGAGCGGATGGCGGGCGGTGGGCGCGGAGGGCGATGCGATGATAGGGCACACCCAACTCAGACCTTGTCGTGGAGCTTGCGAGACGCGAGTGCTCAACCACGCAAAGCGGCTCCCCGAAGTCCTACGCTCTGTTTTTTTTCATAGCGAGTACGCGGCCTCGCGGCGGCGTGCATGCTAGAGGACGAGCAAGCCTGCTCTAGCCTCACGCGTTCTCCCCTGTCGTCTGTTGTGTTGTTGTGCCCTTGTTTGTTCTCTTGGCACCTTGGAGTGCTGGGGGGGGCGACAGGGAGGATGTGGCCTTGAGTTATGTGTACGCCAACTCAGGGTGTGTGGCAGCCAGCTGGCTGTGTGTCTTGTGAGCTTGTTTGTGTCTGTGTGTCGCTCGTGCGTGTCGTCATCATCTGTCTCGCGTCCACCCATACCGCGTTGGTGTCCAGTCCGAGCCTGACTGTTGTTCATCTTTCTACCTACCTACCTGCGTGCATGATGGGGAGGGTGACCCCCAAAACGAACAGACAGCTAGCGGAGCGCCTTCGTTCCCTCTGTCTGGCGACGCCTTCGCGCCCAACACACCGTGACGTGGAGGCATGTGGCGGGTCACAGCGGCAACAAATGGAACGACTACGTCGACGAGCTAGCTGCTCGCGGCAGGCAAGGTGACAGAGGCTCAAACGCTGCCGAGTGGGCGGACAACACCATCCCGACGGACACTCCCGACGACGGGAGCGACACGGAAGGACCCGCCCCCGACCCTCGGGGCGGGGGCCCCCGCCCCCCCGGGGGGCCCTTTGGGGCCCCTCCAGGGGGCGACCCCTCCGGGGAGGCCGGCCTACAGGAGCGACACACAGAACCACAAGACAAGACACTCAGCCAACGTGGCTGCCGCACATCCTGAGCGTACTTCCCAGTCTTCCGCGGCCGGACTCCATCCGGCACGCGTCGCTCAGAGCCGCGTCCCCTGCTCGCCACCCCGACGCTCAAGGCGCCCGAGTCGAACGACAGGCGGCACGCGAAGACTGGTTGCAATCCCGCCGACCGCCAGGCCGCGGGATGATGTGTGGCTGCGTGGTCATGTGGTGGGTCTCGGAAGCTCCCCTCTCGGGCTAGGGGCCAGCCCCTCTCCCTTGCCCTCGGAACAGTGTGTCCGAGTCGAGGCGTGAGAGATTTTTAGCAATACCAAACAACTCTAACACTTTTGTGTGGTGAGGCGTGTGCTTGCCGGTCGACGGCCGCGCGCGGTATTGTGAAGGGTGCGCGCGCGGCCGCGGCGCGCCCGCCATGGCTTGGCGCGGCGCGCCTACCAGCGGCAATTGTCGAGGCACGGGAACGCTTTCCCGGGGTCTTAGGGTTAGGGTAAGAAAAAGAAAAATCCTCTCGTATCAGCTGGCCCTTGCTGCCCCCCCGCACCGCACCCTTGCTCCTCTGTTGGGGCCACTCCTCTGTTCGCCGCTCCTCTGTTCGCCGTCTCCTCGCCGCGCTGCCAGCTTCCGATGAGCGTCGCCTACTCAGACCCTGGCAGCAGCTGGCTCGCCGAGCCGGCCGCCAGCCGCCTCGCCAGCGCCTGGCTCGCCGGCTGCGCGGCGTGGACGCTGCTCGTCACCTTTGCGTATGCAGTCGCGTGGAGCACTTTGGCGAGGAGAGACGCGTCGCGGCGGAGCGCCCACTCTGGCCGGGCGACGTCCGGGCGGGCGACTTCTGGCGCGAGCGAGCCGACGTCGATGCTGGACTGGACGGTCGCGCGCCTCTCCCAGGCGCGCGTGGCCAAGCAGCGGCTTCTCGTGCGCGTGCAGCTACTGATCCTCGCCGTGATGCTCGTCCTGCTCGTGTGGGCTGACTCGCCCATCGTCCTGTACGGCATCGGCTGCTGGCCGAGCGAGCGGCTCGGAGTCATCTGGTGGCCGGCGCTGCTCAACATCCCTGGCGTCACGCTGCTGCCGCTCACGCTGCGGCCGGTGGACACGGAAAACATCCGGGTCGGGGTCTTGCTCTTTTGGGCGATCGGCTACACCTTTTCCGCCTTCCACGTGCTCAGCATCGCCCTCGACATCCCGGTGCCGGTCGGCGAGGCCCGCTACGTCGGCGTGCAGAGCGACCCCCTCTGGCTCGGCTTCCACGTCTTCACAGGCTGCGCCCTCCTCGTCGGCAGCAACCTCGACTGCCTCGTCCTCGGCTGGAGGCACGGGCCGGGCGGCGTCTCGCGCATGGTCCGAGAGGAGGAGCCGAGAGGAGGCCGAGAGGAGGAGGCCGAGAGGAGGAGCCGAGAGGAGGAGCCGAGAGGAGGCCGAGAGGAGGCCGAGAGGACCTGAGAGGAGCCCGAGATGACCCGAGATGACGGGCTGGGCGGTGTTACGCGCCTGGCCGTGCCCGACGGCGCCTGTCCAGCCCACGCCACCCTCCCCTACCCCACAGTACCCGAACCCACCCAGGCCCTCCCGTGTCCACCCCACCCCACCCCACCCCACCCTCCCCTACCCCACAGTACCCGAACCCTGTCCACCCCACCCCACCCTCCACAGTACCCGAACCCACCCAGGCCCTCCGCGACACGTCCGCGACACGTCCCCGACAGGTCGAGGCCGACCCTCGGCAGGGCCTCGCGTGGGTGCACTTCAAGGCGCGAGATTACCCGAGATTACCCGAGATTACCCGAGATTACCCGAGATTGGGCCTCGCGTGGGTGCACTTCAAGGCGCCTCCTGTCTGCCGCTGCTCGAGGCGAGCCGAGGCCCCGCCGAGGCTCGACTCCGCTCTGCGGCGGTGGATAGGCGCCGCGCCCCCGAGGAGCTGCGGGGCGGCATCGCGCTGTGAACGGCGTCTCTCGACAGCCCGCGACGCGGCCCTCTAGGCGCGCTGCATCTTCGAGAGGACCCGAGAGGACCCGAGAGGACCAGAGAGGACCCGAGAGGACCCGAGGTGACCCGAGAGGAGCCGAGAGGACCCGAGATCTGCCCCCAGGTGCGCTGCATCTTCCAGCTGCTCGGCGCCGCGCTGCTCCTCTTTCCCGCGCTGCGCGTGCTCGGCCCCGACCCCGCCCACGCCTCCGCGCCGCGCGATTTCTTTTTTACCGCCCCCACCTTTTTTCTTTTTAGGCCCCGACCCGGCCTTTGCGCTAAACGTCAACGCGGCGCCGATGCTCGTGCTGGGCGCTTGCGCACTCGCTTCGCCGCTGTACGCGGGTCCCGCGGCGCGCGGCGCCGTGCTCTCCTGGCTAGGCAGACTCGGCACCACGGCGGCGGAGCGCGAGGCGGCCGTTGTGCCGAGATCGCCCGAGATCGCCCGAGACCACACTGGATCACCCGAGATCACCCGAGATCACACTGGATCACGCTAGATCACACTAATCACGCTAGATCACGCGAGATCACCCGAGATCACACTGGATCACGCTAGATCACCCTAATCACGCTAGATCACGCGAGATCACCCGAGATCACACTGGATCACGCTACATCACACTGATCACGCTAGATCACGCTAGATCACCCGGTGCCACACCAGAGTCCACCCCCGAGACTAGGCGGCCCCGAGACCACCCAGAGACCACCCAGAGACCACCCAGAGACCACCCAGAGACCACCCAGAGACTAGGCGGCCGTCGTCTCGACGCTCTGCGGCCTCGGCAGACAGTCGGACGGGTCGCTGCTGCGCAAGGTCTCGCCCCCTCCCGCCCCGCTCCCGCCCCGCTCCCGCCCCGCTCCCGCCCCGCTCCTGCCCCGCTCCTGCCCCGCTCCTGCCCCGCTCCTGCCCGAGATCGCCGGAGATCGCTCGAGATCGCTCGAGACCACCCCGAGGCCAACCGAGACTAGGCTGGCTTGTCCTTTCGCGTCATCTCGTTCGACCGCCTGAGGCGACCTCATCTCGCGCCGTCCCGTCTCACCTCTCGCCTCACCTCTCGTCTCACCTCTCGCCTCATCTCTCGCCTCATCTCTCGCCTCATCTCTCGCCTCATCTCTCGTCTCACCTCTCGCCTCACCTCTCGCCTCATTTCGGGACCTCCCCGAGAGCGGTCTCGGCGGATCTCCTCCTCCCACCGGCTGCCTCCTCCCGCCGGCCGCAGGTCCGACGACTTCGTCCCGGGCGGCGGAGGCGGGGACGCGGACAAGCGGGCGGAGAAGGCTGCTCTCGGAGACTGCGACGCGTTTGTGTCGCACGCGTGGCTCGACAACGCCGCCGCCAAGTGGCAGGCGCGAGCCCCGGGCCGTCTCGCGCAATCTCGCGCAATCTCGCGCGATCTCGCGTGATCTCGGGTAGATCTCGGGTGATCTCGGGTGATCTCGGGTAGATCTCGGGTGTGAGCTCGGCACTCCAGTGGCGGGCGCACCCCAGCGTCAAGGGGCAGCGAGCGCCCAATCTCGGGCGATCTCGGCTGACCTCGGCCGATCTCTCGCTCGCTATCTCAGGCGCTCGAGCGTTGGGCTAAGGCCTTCCAGCAAGAGCGAGGCCGCCCGCCGACCTTGTGGGTCGACGTCGTGTCGATCGACCAGTCGGCCGTCGCGGAGCCTAGAAGCGGACTATCTCCCCATATCTCCCCCCGTAGCTCCCCGTATCTGGCAGCACGGAGCCTAGAAGCGGACTATCTCCCCATATCTCCCCCCGTAGCTCCCCGTATCTGGCAGCACGGAGGCTAGAAGCGGAATGCACACCCGCGCCTTCCGGCTAGCGCTCGAGATCACACGCACTACTAGACTGTACTCCGCCGTACCCCGCTGCATCCGCTGTCTTCGCGTAGTAGTAGTAGCAGTAGCAGTAGCAGTAGCAGTAGCAGTAGCAGTAGCAGTAGCAGTAGCAGTAGCAGTAGCAGTAGCAGCCCTTGCATTCACGCGGCGCTCTGAGTACGCGAGTCCGTCTTCTCCCGCCCCGATGTCCGTGTCTTCACACCGTGTCTTCACACCCTGTCTTCACACCGTGTCTTCACACCGCAGGTCGCCGAGTCGCTCGCGTGCCTGCCGATCTTCCTCGCCGGCTGCGAGAGCCTGCTGGTCCTCGGGGGGCCCGTGTACACGTCCCGGCTGTGAACAGCGTCTCTTCACACCTACTTCTGTGAACAGGTCCTCGGGGGGCCCGTGTACACGTCCCGGCTGTGGTGCATCATGGAGGTGACACCCGCAGCTGCACCGCCACCACGCGCCATACAACGAGACAGACAGACACAGATACACACACACACACACACACACACACACACACACACACACACACACACACACACACACACACACAACACACACACACACACACACACACACACACACACACACACACACACACACACACACACGCACACACACACACGCACACACACACGCACACACACACACGCGCGCGCGCGCACACACGCACACACACACACACGCACGCACGCACGCACGCACGCACGCACGCACGCACGCACGCACGCACGCACGCACGCACGCACGCACGCACGCACGCACGCACGCACGCACGCTCGCTCGCACGCACGCACACGCGCGCGCGCCCTGGCCAGAGGACTCGTTCTCGGAGCTCTCCCCGAGCGGGCCCCGCAGGCCCGCTGCCGCGGGGAGAGCTACCCGCACATTCGAACGCCGCACACGCCTCCTCTGCGCCTCTCTGAGCTGCCTGGCCCGCGGCCTCGCAGATCTTCACCTTTCTGAGCATCACCACCGACCTCAGCCGCGTGACCATCGTGCCGCTCAAGGGGGGCGGCCGTCGCTCGGCGGCGGAGCTCGACACTCTGAGCGCATTCTCTCGCTTCTCGGTGGAGCAGGCAACGTGCACGCTCGACACCGACCGAGAGAACATCCTCTCAGTCATCCAGTCGTCGTACGGGACGTACGACGACTTCGACCGTGCGGTGCGCGGGCTCTTTGCAGAACGCCTCGACCCGAACGCAGTGCCGTCGAGGTCGGCGAGCAGCTATCGGGCGCCGTCGGGGGCGGATGCGTCGCGGAGAACAGCGAGCGAACTGGGGTGGCCGATGGTGTAGGCCTAGGCGTGCAGCGCGTGTGTGCCTGGACGAGGTCTGTGTTAGTATATTGTGCGTTGTTTCAAAGTAAAAACTGCCAGTGGCCAGTGCACGAAAGAAATTAAACTTAAAAAGTAAGTATGACTATGAGCTCTCTATGAGTATGACCAATGAACCATGAGCCCATGAGAGATGAGACGCCCCTCGCGAGCGCCGCGCGGCGCGCGCGCGCCCGTCTTTCTCTTATGACGCGTCTCGCTATCATCTATCAACGACGGACACGGTGGTGCAGAAGTACTAGCCATATGTGTATCGCGCGCCTTGCGGGGGGCGCGCGGGAAAGAGGCACCTCTTAGTGCATGACGGCGCGCAAGCAGAGTACGACCTTCGTACCGTTTTAAGGCTCCGAGAGGCGGCGGGTTGGGGTGGTGGAAGGGAGAGGCGGCGCGTCAAAGGCGGCAAGAGCGGTGGCTTGGCGGCGGTGGCTGTGGTAGCTGCGTCGGTGGCGGGTACGGGTCGGCAGAAGCAGGATGGCTCAGGCATGTGCCGCCTCCGCCTTGTTTCGTGACGAGAGCATGAAGGACGTTACGGTCCGGAGCAGCGAGGGCGCCTTGGCCGCCGGCTGCGGCGGAGGGGTCGGCTCCGCGGCCGCAGCGCTCGCGCGGCTTGCGCGATATCTGTAGAGCACCTCGTCGCCGGTGCGCTGCCGCTGCTGCATGATCTGGTGCCCCCGCTCCTCGTCCCACGTCGCGTTCAGCTGCTCCTCGGCCACCTGCTCCTCACGCAGGCGGCCGACGGCGCGCTGGAAGATCGCGCTGACGCGGGACTTGCGCTCCGAGGCCGCGTCGATGCTGGCGCGGCTGACGCGGCTGGCGTGGCTGGCGCGGCTGACGCGGCTGACGCGGCTGGCGCGCGCGAGCATATATATCTGTTTCTTCTTTGGTCGGGAACGTGCGAGTTTGGCGACCTTCCTTGTTTGTCGACGTGTCCTCCTTGTGAATACTTGAGCACTGGATAGGGTCGATAGGGTCGATTCCGCATGGTGTCCTCCTTTTCAGTGTAGTAGTACTTTTAGCTTACTGGGACAAAAGTGTGTCAGTGTATGTAGCTCTTACGTACATTCCCGAAAGAGGACTGCTGACAGGGTTTGCGATGAGGAGCGACCCGACGGGTTTCTCGGAGGTTAGTGCACCACACTAACCGCCGAAGCGCAAGCACTCACTCGGAGCAAGAGAACTACGTTTTCCGACTCCTTTTCCGAGCGACGCCCGGGTCGAAACTGCCTCGCCCTCGGCCATTCCAACGGCCAGGCCGGCTTCACCTTAAGCGTTAAGGCGGGTCTGCAGCCACCCACCCACCGCTCGCCCAGCCAGCCAGGGGTCTATCTACAAAGGTCAGAGCTGTCTTAACCGCTCGCTTGCTTGCGCAAGAGCCTCCGCGGCCGGCCTCATACTAGCACCCTCCCACACCGCCTAGAGCCCACCGCACACCGGCCGGCTTTTGGTTGGACTATCTATGTGAGCTGTCTGTGCGTCGGTCGGTGTGAAAACAAAACTGCGCCGCCTCGCGCGCAAAGTCGCGCGCGGCAGCGTCGACCGCACGGCCTACTCGCCCACTCCCTCTCTTTTATGTCCCACCATGCAGAGCGCATCTCTCTCTCTGTTGTGCGAGGCGTGAACCGCGCCATTCGCTCTCACCTGGCAACCCTGTCTGCACGTCTCGCGCGCGCGTGATCGCGTGAACAGGGGGGCTCCGGCTCCAGGCCCCAAATGACGTGTGAGTGTTAGAGTTGTTTGGTATCTCTCTCTCGATGTGCGGTTGAGGTTGTCGCAGACGGACGCCATCGGCCTGAAAAGCGAGCAGGCGTCCACCTACCAACCACGAAATCGATATAACCCCTAGAGAAGCCGTCGTTGACATATCATCCGAGAGTGAGTCCCGGATCGTCCCCTCCTTGTCGCTTTAGGGTTGTCCCAGACGCCATCGGCCCGAAAAGCGAGCAGGTTGAAAGGGATTATCGACTTCGTGGACGTGTCTGGCACGCCGCGAAACAGCCGGTCATCCGAGACAAGGTCACAGCGTCCTGACGGCTTCTCAAAATAGACCATGCTTTCCGCGGTCACGCCGGCCGAGGTCAACGCCATCGACCCGCCCGCCCCTCCCGACGCGTCTCCCGAGCCGGATGAGCGGCCGCCGGCCAAGGCTCGCAAGCGGCCCAGGCCGACGGAGCGATGCGGCTGGACCCCCGAGGCCGACAAGTGGGTCGCCCACGGCTATGAGACCCTCGGCCCGTGCTGGACGGCGATCGCGGTGCTCCTCCGCCGTGAGACGGGTGAGGACGTCGACAAACAAGGAAGGGAGTCTGCCAAACTCGCTCTCGGGCCCACAGACATCCCGCACACCCGCCGCCCCGCGCCCCACCGCGCCCCACCCACGCGCCCCACCCCGGCCGGGAGAAAAATGTAAGCCGGATGGCTCACAGGCCACCTCTTGCGCCCCGAGCTCTCCATCTACCGCACTGAGCACTTGCGCCCCCTCGCTCCCAACCCATCCACCTGAGTCTCTCTCTCTCTCTCTCTCTCTCTCTCTCTCCCATCCACCTCGCGGGCCGCGCCGCGCAATCTCGGGAGATCTCGCGCTATCTCGGGGCCGCGCCGCGCCGCACCCCCCCCCACCGCCGCCGCCCCGGGCCGGTTCTCGCCAAATGGCCTCCCACCGCATCGGCGCGCGCGTCGCGGGCCTCTCCCCAGCGCAGCTGTGCGCCATCATCGAGGCGCAGGCGGGCGCGAGCGACGCCGCAATGCGCGTGGCGGAGGACCACGCCGCTCGGCTCGTGAAGCAGCCCGAGTGGGTGCTCTCCGAGGTCCTCCTCTCGCCGGACCTCGCCCCGCACATCCTCGCCCAGCTGCCGACCACGGAGCACGTCGCCAAGGGGACGTGCCGCGCGTGGCGCCGTGGCTGGAAGGAGACGCTGAAGAAGCGCGAGAGGCCGCGCATGCTCGTGTTCGGCGGCCAAGACAACGCTGGACGCCTCATCAGCTCGGTGGAGCGGTACGACCCGTCAACGAATGAGTGGGAGGAGGAGGCTGTGGCGCCGATGCCGACGGCACGAGCGAATGTCTGCACGGCGGTGCTCGATGGCAAGCTCTACGCGGTGGGCGGCAGGAATGAGGCTGACGACGCAACTTCCAACCTGGTGGAGCGGTACGACTTGGCTACGAAGTCGTGGGAGGAGGTGGCGCCGATGGCGACAGCGCGGCAGGAACACGCCGTGGCAGTGCTCGACGGCAAGCTGTACGCTGTGAGCGGCGAGAATGACGACGACGGCATCCTCAGCTCGGTGGAGCGGTACGATCCGGCGGCGAACGTGTGGGAGGCGGTGGCGACGATGGCGGAGGCGCGGGGGGCTCACGCCGTGGCGGCGCTCGACGGCAAGCTGTACGCTGTGGGCGGATTCGATCATGGCCGCCTCAGCTCGGTCGAGCGGTACGATCCGGCGGCGAACGCGTGGGAGGAGGTGGCGCCGATGGCGGAGTCGCGGGACGAGCTCGCAGTTTCAGTGCTCGACGGCAAGCTGTACGCCGTGGGAGGCATGAACGCCGGCTACATCAGATCGGTGGAGCGGTACGATCCTGCGTTGAATGCGTGGGAGGCGGTGGCGCCGATGGCGACGACGCGGTATAGTCACGCTGTGGCGGTGCTGGATGGCAGGTTGTACGCTGTGGGAGGCTTCAACGACGGCGACGGCGACTTCGGCACGGTCGAGCGGTACGACCCGGCCGAGAATGTGTGGGAGGTGGTGACGCCGATGGCGACGGCGCGAGGCGCTTCTATCGCGATTCTATCGCAGTCTTGATGTAGTGCGGTCAGGTTTGTAGCCTGGCGTTCGTGCCCCATTTGTGCCGTGGGTGCGAGCATATTTGTGACACGTAACGTACGACGTAGTTTCAATACACAGCCAGACACACGCTAGGACTCGCGCAGTGCGCGGCCGGACCATGCAGCCATGCTTCATGTGCAAGGTGTCGGTGTGTGGGTCGCAAACAAGCTCCGATATTTTCCTCCGCTTCACCTTCTCTGAGCACGGCGTGGACCTCTATGATCACGCCCTCGCCGGCGGATCGAGAAAAAAGATCTGGTGCCAGTCGCGAGCCATAGTCGGCGTACTGGACGCCGTGCGCGTCGAGGTGGCGCTTGAAGGCGTCGAGGATGTCATCGGTGCGGAAAGCGGAAGGCGCGATGTATCGCGGGCCGACGCCGATCGGGTTGATGGCCTCACCGCTGCGGAAGGCGACGCCGAGGTCTCGCGTAGCGAGGTGCATCTGCATGTGGCCGTCCGTGCCTTTGTAGCCTGGCGTTTGTGCCCCCCCCCCCCCCCCCCTTGCTTTGTGCCGGTCCCGTCCCGTTCTTCCGAGACTGGCATGTAACAGAACGATGCCACCTGCCGCCTCGGTTGCCGAGCTGCGAGCTGTCCGCGCGCGGCTAGCTGAGCTGACCGAGCGCTCTATGATTGGACGAAACAACCAACGCGGACACGCCACGGAGGTACGGCTCCGGCTTGTCGGCCAACATAAGACAGGAACATCGAGCAACCAACCCGGCCGCAGAAACTCCGAGACGGCGCAAGCCAGCAAATCCAATCGAATGCGAGCTCAGGCACGACGCATCGAAGAAATGGCGAGCCAAGGTGCGGGGGCCAGCGCTCGATTTAGGCCTCGTGCCGTGGACTTAAGCGCGGCTGGCTCGCGGAGGAGTGCTCAAGGTGAGTGTTGCAGGCCTGCGTGCGCAGTGGATGAGCCCGCAGCCTCGCCAAGCGTGACGGACGCGATCAGCAGGTGCGAGCGAGCGAGGGCACAAAGGCGTGTCTCGCGTTGGCGTGAACGGCAGCAGTCCTGGGAGGAGGAGCGTCTACGCACGCTTGGAGAGACTACAGGCCCAAGGCCACGCCGCAAAGTGCAGGCGTTGCCCAACTCTCCAGAGCGCGGTGACGAGGCTCCAGCGTCGCCGCCTCCTCCAAAACCAGCGTCCAGGGAAGCCTCTAGCACGATGAGCAGCCTGAACTCAAAGCGGTCAAGCGGTCACGAGCGCACGGCAATGAGAGATACAACTTCAGAGAGCGGGCCCCGGCCGCACTTTGCCGAGTCTGAGCCGTTGCTTCTTCTCGCCATGGATGGCACTCCCACGAGTTCCCGTGCCTACCTGCGAGGCGCACCGCCGCCTTCGCTGTCCACGGGATGCAGGCGCACTGGCGTGCGCCGCCGAAGTTGCAGCCCGCCCTTGGCTCAGGAGCAAGATGAGGCGCCACTTCCTCAAGAGGCGGAGTATGTCTGTGTGCGCGGCATCTCCAGTAGCGACGCGCGATGTCGTTGGGTTATGTCGGCTCGGGGGTATCTTCGTCACAAAGTCGGGGTTGGGCTGGCGCTCTAGCGCGTGGGGCGACAAACCCCCGCACGATGGGGAAGAGTTGGGTTGTATGTACGAGATGTTTTTCTTCACGCAGTATAGCCACACAGAGAGACAGCGCGCGCGAGACAGTGCAAAGACATATTACAGGACCCACAGCCGTACGCCGCACATACTGAACAACATCGAACTCAACTAGGAACATCGTCTCCCTCCCTCTCCTAAGCCAGTACCACCCGCACGTCAATAAACAGGCCAGTACGCAAGAAAAATGTGGCCGGGATGTGCGGGGCGCGGCTCGAGGCGCGGCAGGCTCCGAGGCTCACGCCGCGCTCGGTGTCGCCGCCATGGTCCCCAAAATGCGTGCAACGACGCCCTTTGGCAAGCGGCCCTCCTTCTCGGCCAGGCGTAGCCGCGCACGGTAGCGATCCTCTGCCGAGAGCGCCGCCTGGTCGTCAGCCTGGTCGTCCCAGGCGGGCGATGCGGCGAGGCTGCGCTTGGACGGCGGCGAGAGCGCCGCCGCCGCGGGGGGGGCGGCGATTGGCGGCGAAGGTGGCTCCGGCTCGCGCGGCGGAGATGGTGGAGCCGCCGGCAGCAGAGGCGGGGATTGCTGCGGCTGCAGGGGCTGCTGCGGCTGCGGGGGACGCTGGAGTGGCTGCGGCGGCGAGTGCGTGGCTTGAGCGGGGCCCATCCAATACCCCCCGGGGATCTGGACGTACTGCGGCGGCCCCCACATCGGGATGAGCTGCGACGGTGGCATCGGCATGGCCTGGGCCATGGGAAGGCCCATCAGTGGCCCGGGCACCCACCGCTGCGCCGACAGCTGGTTGTACTGCGGCAGCTGGCAGGGCGGCGGCAGCTGGCTAGGCTGCGGCAGCTGGTGGGGCGCCATCTGCTGCGAGCCGGGAAACGGGCGGGGCGCGAATACCGGCGCGGGTGCGCCGGCGGGAAGGAGGCCAACGTGCGCCGGCGAGGGTGCTCCGGCGGGGAGAAGGCCGAAGCGGCGGCGGGCCGAGTCAACGTCGACGGCCGCCTTTGCCTCGACGCCCATGCCGGAGAGCTCCTTTTGCTTGTGCCGCACCCAGCGGTTACGGCAGCTGCTCTCTGTCCGGCCGGGGAGCATGTCCGCGATATCCTTCCAGCGGAGGCCTCTGAGAACGCCCTGGCAGATGAGGTCGACCTCCTGCGTGGTCCAGCAGTCGCCGCCCCGATCGTCTGCCTTGCCCTGCTGCTGCTGCAGGCGGAGGACGCGGTTGCGAACGCTGTCGCCGGACCGGTCCTCACCCGTCTCACGGCGGAGGAGCGCCGCGATCGCCGTCCAGCACGGGCCGAGGGTCTCATAGCCGTGGGCGACCCACTTGTCGGCCTCGGGGGTCCAGCCGCATCGCTCCGTCGGCCTGGGCCGCTTGCGAGCCTTGGCCGGCGGCCGCTCATCCGGCTCGGGAGACGCGTCGGGAGGGGCGGGCGGGTCGATGGCGTTGACCTCGGCCGGCGTGACCGCGGAAAGCATGGTCTAAAATTGAGAAGCCGTCAGGACGCTGTGACCTTGTCTCGGATGACCGGCTGTTTCGCGGCGTGCCAGACACGTCCACGAAATCGATAATCCCTTTCAACCTGCTCGCTTTTCGGGCCGATGGCGTCTGGGACAACCCTAAAGCGACAAGGAGGGGACGATCCGGGACTCACTCTCGGATATGTCAACGACGGCTTCTCTAGGGGTTATATCGATTTCGTGGTTGGTAGGTGGACGCCTGCTCGCTTTTCAGGCCGATGGCGTCCGTCTGCGACAACCTCAACCGCACATCGAGAGAGAGATACCAAACAACTCTAACACTCACACGTCATTTGGGGCCTGGAGCCGGAGCCCCCCTGTTCGCGCGATCACGCGCGCGCGAGACGTGCAGACAGGGTTGCCAGGTGAGAGCGAATGGCGCGGTTCACGCCTCGCACAACAGAGAGAGAGATGCGCTCTGCATGGTGGGACATAAAAGAGAGGGAGTGGGCGAGTAGGCCGTGCGGTCGACGCTGCCGCGCGCGACTTTGCGCGCGAGGCGGCGCAGTTTTGTTTTCACACCGACCGACGCACAGACAGCTCACATAGATAGTCCAACCAAAAGCCGGCCGGTGTGCGGTGGGCTCTAGGCGGTGTGGGAGGGTGCTAGTATGAGGCCGGCCGCGGAGGCTCTTGCGCAAGCAAGCGAGCGGTTAAGACAGCTCTGACCTTTGTAGATAGACCCCTGGCTGGCTGGGCGAGCGGTGGGTGGGTGGGTGCAGACCCGCCTTAACGCTTAAGGTGAAGCCGGCCTGGCCGTTGGAATGGCCGAGGGCGAGGCAGTTTCGACACGGGCGTCGCTCGGAAAGGGAGTCGGAAAACGTAGTTCTCTTGCTCCAAGTGCTTGCGCTTCGGCGGTTAGTTTGGTGCACTAACCTCCGAGAAACCCTTCGGGTCGCTCCTCATCGCAAACCCTGTCAGTCAGCAGTCGCCAGTCCTCTTTCGGGAATGTACGTAAGAGCTACATACACTGACACACTTTTGTCCCAGTAAGCTAAAAGTACTACTACACTGAAAAGGAGGACACCATGCGGAATCGACCCTATCGACCCTATCCAGTGCTCAAGTATTCACAAGGAGGACACGTCGACAAACAAGGAAGGTTGCCCAAACTCGCACGTTCCCGACCAAAGAAGATACAGATATATATGCTCGCGCGCGCCAGCCGCGTCAGCCGCGTCAGCCGCGCCAGCCACGCCAGCCGCGTCAGCCGCGCCAGCATCGACGCGGCCTCGGAGCGCAAGTCCCGCGTCAGCGCGATCTTCCAGCGCGCCGTCGGCCGCCTGCGTGAGGAGCAGGTGGCCGAGGAGCAGCTGAACGCGACGTGGGACGAGGAGCGGGGGCACCAGATCATGCAGCAGCGGCAGCGCACCGGCGACGAGGTGCTCTACAGATATCGCGCAAGCCGCGTGAGCGCTGCGGCCGCGGAGCCGACCCCTCCGCCGCAGCCGGCGGCCAAGGCGCCCTCGCTGCTCCGGACCGTAACGTCCTTCATGCTCTCGTCACGAAACAAGGCGGAGGCGGCACATGCCTGAGCCATCCTGCTTCTGCCGACCCGTACCCGCCACCGACGCAGCTACCACAGCCACCGCCGCCAAGCCACCGCTCTTGCCGCCTTTGACGCGCCGCCTCCTTCCGCTTGCACCGCCCCAACCCGCCGCCTCTTCCGTGGAACGCAAAGGAAGACCCGTGTGTGCGCCATGGCCTCGCGCCCAGAATAGCATGGGGACCCTCAGGGGTTGCTATCGACTAACTCTGTGCTCCGGTTGTGTGACTACCCCACATGGGTAGCCCTGTCTAGTCATTCATTCCAGTGAATGAATGTCCTCGTCCCAGTGGACGCGTCCCTCGTTGGGCCGCCGACAACGACGGTCGTTGTTTTCTTTTTTTCATTTGGTTAGGTCTTAGGTGCCGTTTGGCATTTTGGGGAAGGGGGGCGAATATGTCTGCGCATGATAATGCTAGAGAGGGTCCCCCGACGCTGCTATCTATTCGGCGGGGCCTCGCTTGTAGTTGTACGGTGGGTGGGGGCGCGAACGCGTACGCGCCATCTTGAGTCCGTCTGTGGATGTGCGATGAGCGTGTGACAGACCGTGGCCACACCTCTCTCACACACCTGTATAGATCTTCGTGTGCTTTTGCCGTGGATGTCCCGTGTTTGAGTGGAGAGGGTGGTGACTCTCGAGCAGACCGAATAGCATGTGTGGGCGAGCCCAAACACGAGATACAGGAGCTGCGGGGACGGGAGAGAGGAACGATTCTCGTGGTTTGTTTCCATACATCGAGATCTCGTCTGCTTGACTCACTGGAAACGACAACCCGCTGGAGTGAAACACATCGTGATCACGGTGTAAGTAACACACCCCAGGGCCGCGGAGCTAAGAAGCGCACCAGCGGGCCGGGATGCCCGGGGACGGGCTACGAGCAAAAACGTCCTGACCCCGGGGCGGGAGAGAGAGATTCTGAACTTCTAGGGGCGGCAACGGGCGTCCTTTTTCCGAGAGCAGCGTGTGTGTGTGTGTGTGTGTGTACTCACACACGAGAGCAGCGCCATGACACACCGACCGCATCGGCGCCCGCGTCGCGACACCCCACGGCCACACCCCACGGCCACACCCCACGGCCACACCCCTCGGCCACACCCCACGGCCACCCCCGGTCGCGAGCCCGGGGACAGGTTCCGCTTTCAGAGGATGTGCGGGGCGTGTTGGAACGCGGCCTCGACGCGCAGCTACGTGACCGGCTCGTGGAAGCCCGCATCGAGCGACATCATGCGGTCGGAGCCAGAGTACCTGGCCAAGTATTTTGAGGGCCGTGGCCTCACGGAGAAGGTGATGGGCAACGCCGACTACCACCCGAGCCCCGTGGTCCTCATCTGCCCCTTCGACTCGTGCAAGAAGAGCCACCGCAGTGCTCAATGGCGTGAGCGCCGTGTCGCAGCTGTACTCGCACTGGAAGGGGAGGCACGCGAGCAACCCGATGGCGATCGCGCTCGAGAAGCGGTGGCGGCTGGCGCTTGACAACAAGCACAAGTCGAAGGAGTGGCTCGATGCGCAACCAGGCTGTGCGCTCTGCCTCACCTGCGAGGAGGCCGATCGCCTCGGCGGCGAGGAGGCAGGCTATGAGCAGATCCGCCCCCCCAAGCCCGATCCGACTGACTTCAAGCTGACCTTCGACCTCAACACTGAGGAGCACCGGGCGTGGAAGGCAGCCGTCGGCACCATCTAGGTGGTCGTAGTAAGGCGAGAGAGCACGGTGCCACAAGCGCGCGGCGAGAGAGGGGGGCGGGGTGCCCCGCCGCAGCGGCGGGTTGGGGCGCTATCTGGCGCTATCTGGCGCTATCTGGCTATCTCATTCTATCTCATTCTATCTCGTTCTATTTTTCGTGTCGATCTGACAAAAAAACCGGCCAGACTAGGGCTCCTGCCGCCTGAAACGGGACAACATTACGTACACCACCTCACACACACTACCCCCTCAGGGCTAAGCAGTGCGCAAGTCCACCCGAACTCTAGGCGAGGCATCGACCGCTCCTTTGGAATAGTGCCGTCAGTGGCTGCACTAGACGCCCATTAGATGGCGCGCGCGGCGCGGGCGGATCCGGATGACTAGGGGAGAGAGAATGTGCGGACAGCGCTCACGGCTCAGCGGAGAGGGAGACATAGCTCCGTAGCTCGCAGGTGGAGATGTGCTCAGCCAAGGGCAAGGGATGAGGGGAATGTGTGAGTGTGAGGGGTGCACCAACCGCAGAGCGTCATGTTTTGCCTTTGAAAACTGAACAGTTTTTTTTCTGCGCCCCGCATCAGAACAGCACCACCGCGCACGTCACGTTGTCGGTGGTGCCGCGGTCCATCGCCTCGAGGACGAGCCGCTTGGCGAGCATGTCGGCCGAACGCGCCGTGTGCGTGAGGCAGTGGAGCACGCGCGCCTCGTCCATCACGTCCCAGAGCCCGTCCGACGCGAGCACGATCCCCACGTCCGTCGGGGCGCGCGCGCAGCAGCGCAGCTCTGGCTCGCTGCTGAGGCCGAGGTGGCGCAAGCGGCGGTCGCCGATGCAGCGCGTCACCTGGATCACGAGTCGCCGATGACCCGAAGAGTGGCGTGAGATTCGCCGAGATCAAACCGGCCGCCACCTGGATCACCCCGCCGACGCGCGCTTTGCCATCGGCCGTCGTCTGCACTGTGCCGCCCGCGGCGGCCACCCGCGCCGCCTCCTCGGGCACAGCGGCGTTATGGTCGCGCGAGACACGTTCGAGCGAGTCGGCGGCGCCGGCCGCGCCGCCGCGCCACAAGTGCGCGACGCAGTCCCCCGCGTTTGCGATGAGAGTCGTGTCGGGCAAGACGAGGGCGGCCAGCGCGGTGCACCCCGAATCCTCGGACGGCGCCTGACCTCGGGCAATCTCGGGTGATCACCAGTTCACCGAACTGGCGGTGATTCGACTATCTCTCGGCTGTGACCCTCGACTGCCTCTCGGCTGCCTCTCGACTGCCTCTCGGCTGCCTCTCGACTGCCTCTCGGCTGCCTCTCGACTGCCTCTCGGCTGCCTCTCGACTGCCTCTCGGCTGCCTCTCGGCTGCCCCTCGGCAACATCTCGGCTGCCCCTTGGCTGCCCCTCGGCTGCCCCTCGGCTGCCCCTTGGCTGCCTCTCGGCTGCCTCTCGGCTGCCCCTCGGCTGCCCCTCGGCTGCCCCTCGGCTGCCCCTCGGCTGCCTCTCGACTGCCTCTCGGCTGCCTCTCGACTGCCTCTCGGCTGCCCCTCGGCTGCCTCTCGGCTGCCCCTTGGCTGCCTCTCGGCTGCCCCTTGGCTGCCTCTCGGCTGCCCCTCGGCTGCCTCTCGACTGCCCCTCGGCTGCCCCTTGGCTGCCTCTCGGCTGCCCCTCGGCTGCCCCTCGGCTGCCCCTTGGCTGCCTCTCGGCTGCCTCTCGGCTGCCCCTCGGCTGCCCCTCGGCTGCCCCTTGGCTGCCTCTCGGCTGCCTCTCGGCTGCCCCTCGGCTGCCCCTCGGCTGCCCCTCGGCTGCCCCTTGGCTGCCTCTCGGCTGCCCCTTGGCTGCCTCTCGGCTGCCTCTTGGCTGCCTCTCGGCTAGGAGACGCCTCGGCAAGCAGCCTCTCGTTGAGCCGGACGAAACTGCGGCTCAACGCCTCTCCGAGCGCCGCGGCTCGCGCCCCGCCGTCGACGCCCGCCTGCGCCGCCTGCGCCGCCTGCGCCGCCTGCGCCGCCTGCGCCGCCAGCTCCAGGGCGAGGTTGTCCGCGCCTAATGTTGAGCTGCGGATGAGGGGAAAGAGAGCGGCGGGGAGCTACACTCTCAGGGCGAAGCTGTGCGCGCAGAAGGCGGCGGCGCCGTCGCCGCCGTGCCCGTCGAAGACCGCGGCGAGGGCGACGCCTCCCCGCACGAGCATCACGTGCCTGTCCTCCATCCGGTCGGCGCCGCGCAAGCCGGCCGTCGCCTCGACTCCGCCTCGGCACGCGCGGCTGCCCCCCCCGCCACACAACGCCGCGAGCGAGGCGAACGCGGCGGCAGCCCCACCGCCACCGCTGGAGCCGGCCATCTCTGCAGCCGCCGTGCCGCCCGCACCGCCCATGCCCTCGCCGCCCGCATCGCCCATGCCCTCACCGCCCTCACCGCCCTCGCCGCCCTCGCCGCCCTCGCCGCCCTCGCCGCCCTCGCCGCCCGGCCCTGCTGCGGCCTCGTCGAGGAAGGCGGTGGCGGCGGCGACCTCCGCTCGGGGGGGGAGCTGCGGCGGCGGCGCTGCCTGGCCGTCGAGTGCCGCGAGGGCACCAGCCGCGGCGGCGGCCGCCTCTGCCGCCGCCGGCCGCTCCGCTGCGCCTTGCGACTATGTCCTCAACGCGGACCGGCGTCTGGGCACGGGTGCGGCACCGAGCCGTGGACTCAGGGCACCGCGGGGGCACAGCGGAGCGCGCGTGTCCTCTTGCGAAGTGCCGGTCGGAAGACGCGGGTAGTGTCGGCTTCTAGCGTCGGCTTCTAGCGTCGGCTTCTAGCGTCGGCTTCTAGCGTCGGCATCTAGGATGCCTGCGCCCACAGCTTCTGCACGAGGGCGACCAGCTGCGGCGGCGGCGCCTCCGCCGAGGGCTCAAGAGGGGGGAGCGCCGGCCGCAGCTGCTGGCTCGTGATAGCGACGACGAGCGCGTCGTGGTTGTACCGCGCCTCCAGGATGGTGTGCAGCTGCGCCTGCTCCCCCGAGAGAGGAGCCGAGATCACCCGAGGGTTGCAACCTCGGCTCGGCTCGTCTCGGCTCGTCTCGGCCCCTCTCGGCCCCTCTCGGCTCGTCTCGGCTCGGCTCCTCTCGGCTCCTCTCGGCTCCTCTCGGCTCCTCTCGGCTCCTCTCGGCTCCTCTCGGCTCCTCTCGGCTCCTCTCGGCTCCTCTCGGCTCCTCTCGGCTCCTCTCGGCTCGTCTCGGCTCCTCTCGGCCTCCTCTCGGCTCCTCTCTGCTCTCTGTCCTTCTCGGCTCATCTCATCTCGGCTCGTCCCACCGTCTCGGTGAGCGCGTCCGAGTACGGGACGGCGCGCGCGAGCACCTGGGTGGGTTCGGGTACCGTGGGGTAGGGGAGGGTGGGTTGGGGAACCGTGGGGTAGGACGGCGCGCGCGAGCACCTCGGTTGGCGGTGATGCCGAAGCGAGTACATGTCCGGCAAGCCTTAGAGGGAGGTCGGCTGCCCCACTGGTCTGCTGCTGTGATTGTAATGACAATATGTAGCATCGGCGGCGGCGGCGTCGGCGCCGGCGGCGGCGGCGGCGGCGACGGCGGCGTCGGCGGCGTCGACAGAGGCGGCGGCGGCGGCGCCGCCGGCGCCGGCGGCGGGCGGCGGCGGCGGCGGCGGCGGCGGCGGCGGCGGCGGCGGCGGCGGCGGGCGGCGGCGCAGCGGCGGCGGCGGTGTGAGCGACAGCGATCGCCTCAAAGTCAAGCGCCGCACCCGAGGCGCCGCCGCGGGTGATGAGCTCCGGCGCCATGTACGGCAGCGTGCCTACTCGGCCGTCCCCTCCCCTACCCCCACGGTACTGAACCCTCGCGCCATGTACGGCAGCGTGCCGACGACGTACTGCTTGAAGAAGCCGCCCGTCGGCCGGGCATGCAGGGTGATGGCGCCTGCTCGGGACGAGGCGAGGAGTCAGGGCTCGTTCTGAACGACTCCTTGACGCGTGTGGATCGTGATGGCGCCGCTGACTGCGTCGGAGCGCTCCGCCGCGTTGAAGTCGGTGAGGACCGCCGCACCTAGCGGGAAGGTTCCGAGAAGGTTCCGAGAAGGTTCCGGCGAGGTTCCGCGAAGGTTCCGTACATGGGAGGCGGCGCAGCCGGCGAGAGGTCAGCGTGGAGATTGTCAGACGGATGCGTGTCTGAAGATCGCTCTCTTGCCCTCTGCGTGTCGTCTTCCTGTGACGTGCCGTGCTCTCGAGCCTTGCGCGTGCTGTGGTGTGCTGTGCTGCGGCGTGCTTGCTGTGGTGCATGCTGCCACCGCGCCGTCCTCACGAAGCAGGTAGTTGTCCGGCTTGACGTCGCGGTGCACCACGCCGCGCTCGTGCAGGTGGGCGACGGCGGCGCACGCGTCGGCGACCAGCGAGGCGCGGCTCCGGAGCGAGAGGCCGGCGCCAGAGTTGTGCAGCGCGCGAAAGAGCGAGCCGCGGGCGTGCAGCGGCAGCACGAGCGCGTACGTCGGCGGCGAGCGGATGAGGCCGAGCGGCCGCACGACGCACTCGTGAGCGAGGCTCGCGAGGAGGCTGGCCTCGCGCTCGAAGCGCTCAATGTCGCGCGCGCACGTAATCTTGCTCCGCTTGACCACCACGAGGGCTCCTCCGTCCTCAAAGCCTCTCCCGCCGAGCGGCGCGGTGAAGACGTCGGAGGTGCCGCTCGCGTGCAGCGTGCGGTCTCGCGAGCTCGGCGCGTCGAGGAGAGTGAGCGCCATGCGAGCGTCGACCGACCAAAGAGTCTTGTGCTTGTTTTACTTTTGTTTCTTTTTTCCCTATCCCCGCTCTCACGGTCGCCCTGTTCCGCCTTTAAAAGTTCTTTTTCTCGCGATGTCCACCCCTCCGCGCCGCCGCTCGCGCCGCCTCGCCCCCGCCCCCGCCGCCGCTCCCTCGCCAAGCACGCCGCCGCCCACCCGCCTCCTCGACCTCCCCACGGAGCTCCTCGTCCGCGTCGTCTCTCGCTGCGACGTCCCCGTCGACATCGCTCGCGTCGCGGCCGTCTCGCTTCTCTTCCACGCCTCACTCGCGGTGGAGGGCATCCGCTTGTGGGCGCAAGAGCGCGGCTTCGAGCTGCCGGCGCAGCCAGAGGGCGAGGACTGCGCCGTGCGGTGGCTGTGCTATTCGGCGCTGCTGCGCGAGTCCAACCCGCCGGCGAGGGCGGCGGCAGGCGAACGGCACAGCCTCTTCATCGACGGCGAGGGGCGGCTCTCGTCGTGCGGCTCAGAGCCGTCCTACGCTCCAGGGCTGCTCGGCCACGGTGAGGGAGTGACGCGGCTCAACACGCCGACTAAATTCCCTTCTCCTTTTCTGGGAGGCGAGCGCGCCGTGAGCGTGGCGGCTGGATTCGGGCACAACCTCGTCATCACCGCCGATGGCGCTCTCTGGAGCTGGGGCGATGGAGCCTGTGGCCAGCTGGGCCACGGCGACCAGCAGACCCAGCTGCTACCGAAGAAGGTCGAGGCCTTGGCTGGGCGGCGCATCGTCGCTGTGTCGGCGGGGTGTGTGCACAACCTCGCCCTTACCACCGACGGCGCCCTCTGGAGCTGGGGCGGTACGGCCGGCGGCAAGCTGGGCCACGGCGACGCACAGAACCAGCTGCTGCCCAAGAAGATCGAGGCCTTCGCTGGCCAGCGCGTCGTCGCTGCGACGGCTGGACTCGCGCACAGCCTCGCCCTCACCGCCGACGGCAGCCTCTGGAGCTGGGGCAGTGGAAGTTCTGGCCGGTTGGGCCACGGCGACACGCAGCAGCAGCTGCTGCCGAAGAAGATCGAGGTCTTGGCGGAGCGGCGCGTCGTCGCTGTCTCGGCTGGTTACCACCACAGCCTCGCCCTCACCGCCGACGGCAGTGTCTGGAGCTGGGGGTTTGGAGGTGAGGGCCGGCCGGGCCACGGCGACAACCAGAGGCAGCTGCTGCCGAAGAAGATCGAGGCCTTTGCTGGCCAGCGCGTCGTCGCTGTGTCTGCTGCGCACGCACACAGCCTCGCCCTCACCGCCGACAGCAGTGTCTGGAGCTGGGGCGGTGGAGGCGGGGGCCGGCTGGGCCACGGCGACGAGCAGAACCAGCTGCTGCCCAAGAAGGTCGAGGCCTTTGCTGGGCAGCGCGTCGTCGCTGTGTCGGCAGGAACATACCACAGCATCGCCACCAGTTCCGGCGCCGTCTTTACCTGGGGCAAGGGCGACTGCGGCTATCTAGGCCACGGAGAGGACCTGTCGAACCAGCTGCTGCCCAAGAAGATCGAGGCGTGGGCGCCGGGGCAGTGAGAAGCCCGCAGTTGGACAAGGAGGGGATGCTCAGGCTTCTCGCGGAGCTCAGCGAGAAGAGTAGTCGGTTCTCCGTCGCGGCGGGGCCGAGTCCGAGGGTGGGCGCTGCGGCGGAGGCGGCAGAGGACGAGGCTGGTGTTGGCTGAGGCCGTCGCCGAGGCGGCGACCGCCGAGGCTGCGGCAGAGGCTGCTATAGGGCGTCTCTTGAAAGTGGGGATTTTTAGGAAAGGAGGACTTGCCGGAGGAGGTAAATAAATAAATAAAAACGGACACCTCTCTACTGTGAGATGGGTAAAAAGGAACAGGTCCCCGCCCTTGCGATCTTTGTGCAGGGGGGGTTCTTTGTGGGTGTGGTCGGCGACTAGAGCCGTAGCCGGGAGCGGCCGCACACTGCTCGGTACCCCCCCTGCACATCTAAAGCCATGGCCGACCCCCCCCCCAGCAGCAGCGCTCTGCTGCTGGGGGGGTCCGGACCCCCCCCCCCCAGCAGGAGCGCTCTGCCTGTGGGGGGTGCTGGCATCTCTGTACAGACAGCAGCTGTAAGTAGCATGCGTTCCAGTGGCGAGAAATTATGGTCGGCACCAAAATCAGTGGTCTCACCGGCGGGCCCTCCTACTGCCAATCGGGAGGTGCGGGGCACGCCAGCCTCTCTTCTACGCCTCTCGTGCATCGCGGCGCCTCTGCCCCAACGAGGGAAGATACGGGGCTCTCGCAGCCCAGGCGTTTTCGAAAAAAGAAAAGGCAGCCGCTTGCGGACAGCTCAGTCGATCGATTTGCGACGAGCGAGCGATCCGAGGATCGAGCGGGTGGCCGATAGGCTAGGGAGATCAGCGCTGATCGATCAACGTCAGCGAGACGCCCGAGTGAGTGGCTGGCTCACTATACGCGCTATCTATGTGTGGAAGGTAAAGGTAGACTCACATGGTCACAAGTCTTTAGTAAAATGCCAGCACTCGACAAGACGAAGGTGTATTGGGCTCGAAGGCGCGGTGAACACAACCGCCTCGAGCGTACCGCTCAAACACGAGCCGAGGGTGGAGGGTGGCGGGGCGGCGGCAAAGAGGCGGGGGAGAGCTGGGTCCGTGCGCTCTGCTGCTGGGGGGGTCGGGACCCCCCCCCCCCCCCAGCAGCAGAGCGCTGCTGCTGGGGGGGTCAGACCCCCCCCCCCAGCAGCAGCGATGGCTTTAGATGTGCAGGGGGGGTACCGAGCAGTGTGCGGCCGCTCCGGGGTCGTCCTCCCGATGGGGGACTAGCACTAGCCGTCTTCCACATGGTCCCTCGGGTCCCTGCTGCTCCTAATCTCTTCGTACATCCTCCTGCTGATCTCCGCAAAGTCCTGCTCCCTCCCTCGTCTCGCCCTGCACGTCTGCTCGGCCTCAGCTCACCGTCTTCTGCCCTGCGTCGTCTGGCGACGGGTCCTCCATGCCGAGCCGGAGGAGGTGGTGGCTATGGCTTTGGACCTTTGCGAGAGGTGGCGAGCGGAGCAAGAGCGGTGTAGGCGCGTCCACGCTGCACAGCGGCTCTCCCCGCCGCGACCACAGCCCCTCTCGCAGCCGCAGCAGAGACGCGGAGCCGCGGACCATAAGTTCTTTTTGCGCACGACACTGGGCACGGCTGACACTAAACTCTTTTTGCGCGATGACCGATGTCCACGGGAACTGGCGGCACGAGAAGGACGGCGAAAGATAAAAAAGAATCACAAGGCCAAAGATAAAAGAATTTAAACAAGGCAACTCTCTCTCACAGCACACAGGCTCGACACAGGTGCGAACTGGCGAGTGCTAGTACTATCAGATAAAAAGAAGGCAAGTAGTGCGCAGCGCCGCCGGCTCCAAGCTGCGGCTCGTGGTTCGCTCCTCTCCTGACGCAGAGCAGAGGGTTCTGGCCGTGCGCATGCCCACCGCGCCGCCAGGGTGGGAAAGAGACGCAGATACGGTGGCTCAGGTATGGCCCCGGAGCCCATGAGCATCGACGATCAGCCGCTTTCAGGTGACACGAGTACGCTGACGCTGGGCGTCCACGTGAAGGTTGATGGTCTGGCATCACGACCTGAGCTCAACGGACGTGTCGGCACGATCGTGACCTCCGTGCAAGACAGTGGCCGCTATGGTGTGGCCATCGGTGGTGAGGTGGTCGCTTTGAAGCCAGAGCGACTTAAGCGCATGGCGGCTCCCGTGAGCGGCACCTCTGGCTGGCGTGCAGAAGACTCTTTCTTCTTTTCGGAGGTTGCGCGCGTCGTCCCTGAGGTCGATGGTACGTTCAAGTCGGCGCTTTCCGAGGCACCAACAGGTCTGACACTCACAGGCGCAACGGCGAAGGCGCGCAGCATCGCGACCTACCTCGCGGAGACCAATCCCGATGGCCAGCCTGAGGACGCCGAGGCGGTGGTGCGCTTCTCGGTGTGTGGATGTACGGAAATGGACGTACACGTGACGGGCGGCGGGCTGTCGTCGGCCTCGGTGGTCGAGCTCCAATCGCTCAACCCGCAAGGCAGTGATGTGGTCGTCGCCCTCTCCACCCTCGATGGCAAGCTCACCAAGCAAGTCTGGAGCGATGGGCGAGCAGTAGGAAAGCCAAGCAGCATGCCGTGGTATCAGCTCAAGCAGCCCACGCCGGAGGCGACGAAGACGATTCGAGGCGTCGAAGTGGTCTCCCGATACGGCCCGGGCAGCGCGGCGAGCTGGCGTGGTGTCTATGTCATGTGCACACTTCAGCGACGTGGGACGGTGATCCGTATGAGCGGTGCCTCCGCCGCCACCGCCTCCGCCACCGCCGATGCCACCGCGCTCGCTCCTGTGCGCCAGCAGCAATGGGAGCGGAAGATGAGTGCCGCGGCGGAGAGGGGAGACGTCGCGATGGTGCGCGATGCGATCGCGCACGGCGCGTGGCCCGATGCGCCTGGAAGCCAGGGCCTCACGCCTCTGCACCTCGCGTGTTTCAAGGATCGGTCGCACCCAGTCGTGGCGAAGTTCCTCGTGGGAGAGACTACGTGCGACATGCGGCTGCGGGACGAGGAGGGCTACACCCCTCTTGACCTCGTTGTAGAGGAGGGCGACGCCGCGCTTGCCCGCGTGCTGCTCGAGACGCCTCGGCCTGCCGGTGCCCCTCCGTTTGACGTGGACGCACCCATGGAAGATGGTACGACGCCGCTGTCCAGAGCGATCGAGAACGGCGCGGCGGACTGCCCGATGGTGGCGGTCCTCCGCCGCGCTGGGGCCAAAGCGAGCGCTCCGCTGGTATTTGCGGGCCCGCTCTACGACGCCCGGCTGGCGGGAGAGCACCGATGGACGGCCACGCCGTGCCGCTTCGGCTCCACGACGCACCGGCCGTCCGACTATCCACCAGGCTTCCTGGGAATGCTCCACCGCGTCTCCGACCAGCACTACTCGATGCTCGCGCTCGTCTTGGATGGGCGCGCACCGCAGTACCAAGACGAGGCCGCTCCACGGGAGGTCAAGTGGCTGCGGCACTGGCTGCCACCGCGCCACTGGTGGCAGTACACAGGGGACACGACCATCGTTGACACCGTCCACATGGACCTTCAGGACCCGCGGAACGGAGCCAATTTGCTCCAACGGCACGAGCTGATGAGCGCGTGCCGCAACGGCGTGCGAGCCCTCTTCCTCCACTGCACCTCCTGCCTCACCTCCGCCGATCTCGTCGAGTGCCTTCGACGCTGCGGCGCCTCTCTGACGTGCGTCGCCTTCTCGGAGTGCGCGGTCGATGGCAGCGTGCTGCGTGCACTCACAGAGCACTGCCCCAACCTGCGCGCCCTCCGGATGCACTTTTGCTCCGGCGAGGCGAGTGCGGACGAACTGAAGGCTCTGCTGCGTGCGTTGGCCACCTCGCTCCTCTGGCTCGACATGACGGCGCCGTGGGCCCCGAGGCATGGCATCAGTGGCCACGGGCCTCGCGTGGACGATGGCAGACAGAACGCACCGTGGGAAGAGCTCGAACGCTGCGCGACACTCCGTGTGGCCCTCCTGCCGGAGGGAGTGTCTGTGGCGGCCCTCTCGGGACTCGCCTCTTGCCAGCAGTTGGAGCTGCTTCACGTCGAGGCCGACGGCCGCTCGCCACAACCGCTCTCGGTCCTCGAGCCGCTCGCACGCACAGGCGGCTTCGCGCGCCTCGACATCGCTGGCTTTGCGCTCGACGAGGCGGCGAGCGACGCCGTGTGCGCGCTGGCCAATCGACTCACGATCCGGGGTGGACAGCCATTCCCGCGCGTACGGCTCGCCGCGTGCACGCGGCTGAGCGAGCTCTCGATCCGTCGATCAGTGGTGGAGGACGACTTGTTGGCCCTCCTCCCACTGAAAGGCACGCTTCGCTCAGTGCATCTGAGTCCGGATGAGCCGCTTGACCCAGAGGCGCTCAGTGTGTTCAGCTGCCTCACGGGGCTGCGGGCTCTCAACCTCTCCGGCTGCCTACGTAATGCCTATGAATACGGCGAGGAGGTGGTTGAGGCCAATGGCGATCATTTGGGCCAATTGAGGCTCTCCCAGCTGCGCCAGCTCGACCTCTCTTCTCATTACGACGCCTTCTACGCCTGCATCGACCCCGAGACCATTGTTCAGCTCTTCTGCTGTTCTGAACATCTGCGCATCTTCAACCTCTCCGACAATGGCCGCAAGTACCCTTGGGAGCGCCTGCGCCGCGAGATGCGTCGCCTTGCCAAGGACAGCGAAGACGCTCGCATCGTTGTCCACACGGGCGATGGCGTGACCGAGGTGCTTGAAGGCCGGGACGGCGAAGGCGACGAGAGCGACGACGAAGAGGATCAGGAATGCTCGGGGAGTGATGACAGTTGGTGATAGGGACCCCACGGACCCACGCAACCGTGGTGAAGTTGTAAATGTCGGACATGTACATGCAGACATCGGACTCGTCTGGCGCGTGTATCGCGCGCCTGTGGTGTCGTTTATTGCGGGACACATATGTGTGTTACACTCGCTCGAGTATTGAGTACTACGTCAGTACACAGGCGTCCGTGAAGGAACCATTGGGGGTTCGGTTCGGGGTATCTCTGGATCGCGCGAGGTCATTCTTTGGACCGCTCAAATTCTTTTGCGAGGCGTTGTAAAATTATTTTGCGCCTGTGTTAGTGCCAGTGCGCGCCAGTCCCGTGCCCAGTGTAAAACGGGGAAAGAAAACAGACAGCCCACAAAAAAGAAAGAAAGAAAAAATACCCGTTGACGAGCCGCTTGAGCGCGGCCAGAGCTTGTACAAAGCGACGGCAAGCAGGACCAGGCCTGCGACTGCGTAGATGCTCCACATACATGTGTGGGGTCGGGCTTGCTCGGGCCTCGGCGAAGAAGTCTCCTTGGCGCTTGGCTGCGTAACTAGTTTTCATAGTGAAAACCGGCGATTTCGAAGCGCCCGTGGCGGTTCGCGAGAAGGAGGGAGAGAGAGCGTTTGAGGGGCTCACGGCAAGGACACCGACCGAGGGGGGGGTCGGTCGTCACACCTCCCGCCGCCGAGAGAGCGACCGACCGGAGGGGGGGTCCGGTCCGCCTCGGGGGCAGACCACCGACCGGCGGGGGGGTCCCCACGAACTAGGGGGGGTGGGTACAAAATGACGCTCGTATAAGCAGGGCTACACAATGACCCCATAGTGTGTGGGTGTTTCTGGCGAGTCGTGATGAGTAGAATTAGATTAGCCAATGTTATTTTGAAGTTCATATATGAAAATACCAACTTGCCTATGTGCACGTCTCCGCGGCAGCGGCCCGGAGGCGGCCCGGCGGAGCGGTCAGAGCAGCACTGCGCCGGCCGGCGATCGATTCTCGCTGCAACCTTCATGCCACCTCGCAGACAACCCAAAGAAAGAAAAGAAAACAGAGAAGCCAAGGGAGGGATGGGAGAACGGCACGCCGTCACCACACAGGGATTTTAAGGAGAGGAGTGTGATGCGCTAGCCGTCGCCCACCCTGGGGAGTCTAAGCAAGTGGAAAATTCTTTTGCGCGATGTCCACGATCCTCGCCGCGCAATAAATCATACAGCCCGGCCTTGTCTCCGCCGTCGGCTCCATGCCTGCGAAGCGAGCCCGCGGCGCCTCGCGGCAGCCCGCTGCGACGGCGTCGTCGACCTCGGCCGCGGCGAAGGGCGCCGCGACCTCGTCGGTGCTCGTGCACCGCTGCCGTTTCGTTGACCAGGTGCCCGATCCGGTCGAGTCCCTCCAGTACGACCCCTCGTGCTCGCGCCTCGCGGTGCTGCGCGCCAACTCGGACATCGAGCTGTGGTCGCTCAGCGAGGGCGGCTGGTTCCGAGAGGCGTACGTGCCGGGCGTTCCCGACACGCCCGTCCGCCGGCTCGCCCTCGGGAGCCGAACCGCGTCGCACCCGGACGGCCGCCTCTTCTCGTGCGGGCTGCACGGCGTCGTCACGGAGTGGGACCTCGCGCGTCTCTCGCCGCTCGACAACTACGACTCGCTCGGCGGCGCCGCCTGGTCGCTCGCGCTGCACGCCGGCTCTGCGCGGCTTGCGGCGGGCTGCGAGGACGGCGGCGTCACGGTGTTTGGGGTGGTGGAGGAGGGGCTCGAGAACGTGTACCGGCTGCCTGCGCGTGGCGGGCGGGTCCTCTCCCTCGCCTTCTCCTCCTCGGGCGGCCAGCTCGTCGCCGGAGGAGCGGACGGCTCGGTCCGGCTGTGGGCGCTCGGCGGCGGCGGCGCCGCGAGACACACCTGGAGACACAGCTGCCAGTTTGTGCTGGAGTCGGAGGGGCGGAAGCGGCCTCCTCTGGTGTGGGACGTGCTGCTGCTGCCCGACTCGCTCGTGGTGACCGCCGACTCGTCGGGCCGCGTCTGCTTCTACGACGGCCGGCGCGGGGCGGTAGATGGGTAGACAGAGAGGCGACGCTCACGGCCAGCGCCGCGACTTGTGACTGGAGAGGCCGCCGGCGGCGGGGGAGAGGACGGCCGCATCAAACGGGGCGACACACAGAGTCACGGCACTCGCACGGCTGTCCACCTCTCTGTCTACCACCGCGTGTCTGCACGTCAAGGCACGGCCACCTAGGCACCTCCTGGACACCTCCTGGACACCTCCTGGACACCTCCTGGACACCTCCTGGACACCTCCTGGACACTTCCTGGACACTTCCTGGACACTTCCTGGACTCTTCCTAGACGCCTCCTAGACGCCTCCTAGACACCTCCCAGACACCTCCTAGACACCTCCCTCCCCCACGCAGGCACGGCACCCTCGTCAACCGCTTCCGCTCGCACGAGGCCGACGTGCTCGCTTGTCGCGGAAGAGTCTCGGAGGTGTCCACGAAGTGTCCAGGAAGTGTCTGTAGGCCGACGTGCTCGCCCTCGCCGCCACTGGAGACGGGTCGCACGTCTTTGCGTCCGGCGTCGACCACAAGGTCGTGCACAGACTTCACATAGACGCACCACCCAGGGCCCCGGCATCGCACAGAGACAGCCACGTCAACGTGCCTACTTCACGCAAAGACACAGCCCCGGGGCCCGAGACGCACACAATACACAGGCCGTCGAGAAGGGAGAGAGCAGCGACGGCAGTCAGAAGGCAGCGCATGGTCCCAGGAAGGCGAATGCGATGACGGCCTCTAGTGCGAGCTCTAGCTAGTGAGCCCATACGCTGCTATGCTACTATCTCCTATGCCGACTTCACGCCGCAGCCCGAGGTGCGCGGCGTCTCTTCACACCTCCCTCTTCACACCTGCCCGAGCTGCGGGCAGGTGTCCCTCTTCACGCCGCAACCCGAGGAGCTCAAGCCGCACCAGCAGCCGCTCGCTATCTTCAACCTCGCCGCGCCGCGCCCGCCGCGCCAGTACCTGCTCAATTGCTCGCGCCGCCCACACACGCACGAGGTGCGCGCGCCCCCTCCCCTCCCCCTCCCCCCCCCCCCCACACACACACACCCGCCCTTCCCTCCTCTCCCTTGCCCCACACACGCACACGCCGCCACCACCACCGCCGCCGCCACCACCGCCAGCACCACCGCCGCCGCCGCCTAGCCCTCCTTCTCTACCCCCCCCCCCCCCCCCTCCTCGCGCCCGCGACGTCATTGCTCGGGCAGAAATGAGTCTCGTCGCCGAGTGACACTTCCTAGACACCTCCTAGACACCTCCTAGACAGCAACGAGTCTGGCCGCCGATTAGGTCCGTGCACTCCTCGTCATCGAGCCTCCCTCCTCCTCCTCCTCCTCCTCCGCCGCCGCCCCCGCCCCCGCCGCCGCTGCCGCCGCCGTCGCCGCTCCCGCCGCCGCCGCCGGAGCGGCGCCCGTGCCTGCGCCGTTGGGGGGAGGGGGCGGCAGCTGGCTGACGCCGCAGCTAGTGTCTGCGGGGTTCGACACGCAGCTCGTCCTTCTCTCCCATGTCTCCCCACATCTCCCCATATCTCCCCATCTCTCCCCGTAGGCTCGACACGCAGCTCGTCCTTCTCTCCCTCGACGGCTTCGAGCGCTGCTCCCCCTCCAAGCTGCTGCCGCCGCCGCTCCCCTCCTCGTGCTCGGTCGCGCCTCAGGCGCCTGCCCGCCCCGCGCCCTGCCACCGAAGGGCGAGAGAGGGGGGGGGGGGAGGGGGGCTCTTCCCCCCCGCGGCGGGTCTCTCGGCACAGGAGCTCACACCCTCCTCCTACGCCTGAACCGAACGACGTGCCGCGTTGCGACCAGGCGAGGCTGCTCCCCCTTTCTCCAATTAAGTGGACAGGGCGGGGGA